ATTATTAGCCAGAAGGCAGAGATACTGAAGCCTTTTCATATACTGGTGCAGAAGCTGACCAAGAAAAAAGAAATGGAAATGTTTCACAATAACTATTAAACAAATTTATTACATAAATTGAATATTTTTTAAAAAAAACTACTGTGAAGCAGCTATTTACGAAACAAAGCTGCAAAATAGCCATTTATTTTGGCCACTGAGTTGGCACCATTTTTCATGAAGCAAAACATTAATACTTTGTAACTGAATTAATATGCAGCATTTTTTCCTATAATATTTAGGATGATATAATATTGGAAACACACCCTACTAAGAGATACCCAAACCTGTTTCTGTTTTCTTCTGTTTTCTAAGCAGAAAGATCTTTCAATTCCTTAATGTTTTGCTCATCTACTTTCCATTCTTTTTCCTTGACTCATAGACTCCTTCCTTTTTTCCCTTTGCCTAACAGAGAGACTTATAAGGTTGATTGCTCACTCACTGATGTTCCGATTCTTTGCTTGGTAAAAGAACAGCACTGCACAGTGGCTGCTCCTGAGCTTTTCCTCCTTGGCTGTTTCCTCCTTCCTTCTTTTAGATAGCGACAGCCACAGCCTCTTGGCCTAGTTTCCCTGGCTAGACTCCCTACTGTCTCTGGCTTGATAAGGCCAGCACTGCCTCAGAAACAGAGCCTGCCTCACATTGTGAGAGCGGCAAGGGTTCTGGAAGGTGCTCATTGGGAAAAGCTTAGCCCATCTATCCAAGTCCTGCTGTTGTTGGGAGATTGGCTAAGATAGCCAATTGAACTAGATAAACTTCTTAATCACCAGATTAATTTGGTAGACAGATTTAACAGACAAAAATATCAATAGCAATACAGTTAAAATAGTATTATAAAGTATAATTTGTACAATTTATCCTTAGTACTGTAAATAATTTTGAAAATTCTGTAGCTAAACTTTCATTAATCTTTTCTAGGAAATCAAGAAATTTTGTACCATGAGTATTGCTTCTTGTCCTGCCTTCTGGTAATTTGGAAAATGGTGTGGTCTCCTCTTCTTTGTGGGAGCCCCTCAAATATTGGAACACTACTATCATGTCACCCCTAATCTTTCTTTTCACTAGACTAGAAATACCCATGCACAACTCTACTTCATGTGTTTTAGCTCCCAGGCCCATAATCATCTCTGTTGTTCTCTGCATTCTTTCTAACATCTCAATATCTTTTTTATATTATAGCAATGAAAACTGGATATAAAATGATATATAATATATATTATTATATGTATATATTTTTTTAAATATTGATATGCTGATCTATGACCATGATAAATTTTGTTTTGATTTTATTTATAAAGGATGCAGTGCAGTATAATTCTGATTTTCCATTCACCGTGTGGAAACAGAGATGCTATGTCTGCCCTTTTAAAGAGCAGATGGAAGGCTATTACAGGCCAATGTAAAAGCTGTTCTGGTATTCTGGAATGTAACATCAAACAAATAATGGGCAAGTACAACAATTTTTACTGGTCTCAATTAAAGGAAGATGTGCTTAACTGAAATCACTTTGGATAATTGCTTAAAGAATAGTTTGTCCTATTCAAAACCCACTGAGTTTGTCACATTACATGAAAGCCTACAATACCTTTAAATGCAAATAAGTGATTTCCACCAGGAAGGCTGGAATTTATCTTGGAGAGTCAAAGCAGTCAAAAGGCATGTATTATTAAGCCAAGGGTTAACATATACCATGTATTCTCAAGTGTTCACTGATGCCATTGATGCCTGAACGACTGGGTTTGGGAAATATTGCAGAAATAAAACATGTCTAATTAAACTGTCTAAATTAAACATGTCTAATTAAACTGTCTAAATTAAACCTTAAGACTGTCTACTATTGACCTCACTCCTCTCCTAAGAGGTCTGTAGGGGGCGTGCATAAGCGCACCAATGTGCCTACTGTCCCTGTCCTTTTTTTCCCCCTTATATGTATCAATTTCATGTATTCATAACTATGTTTATACTTATACCTGTTATCTTATAATTGCTTGACAAAATAAAAAAAATAAAATAAATAAAATAAACATCATCTAACAGCACTATGACCTTCTAAGCAGATATTTGAAAGCCATGCTATTTACTTTGGCCTCAAACATTTTAAATCTATTTCTGATATGAAAAAAGTCTAAGATGTTGACTACCATTCTTTTTTATTTTAAGATATTGACAACCTTACTTTTTACCACTTTTAATGATCGAATTTTGGCCCTCCAGGGAAAAAATATCTTTTCAGTAATGTTCCATTATTTTGCTATTTATATTTAAATCTTGGAAGGAAGTATTTAAAAATACTATTTTTTTTTGTTTTCTCATAGTTAATAAACAGATACTTATACATGCAGTGGGAAGCAATTGATCTTAATGCTCTTCTCAATCCAAGAAGCAAAGTTGAGGTAATAGCTAAATGGCAGGTGATTTTCCAGATTTCTGCATTTTTATACCATATCATTGATATAAAACACTGAATAGCAAAGGACTAAAATACAGTCTTGTTAAATGCCCTTGGAAGTAGGCACCACAGCAGAGAGCTGACCTTGGCTGTCAATCTGATTTGAACATAGATGTTATCATGCAACGTTTTAATAAGTGCCAGCAGCAATCTCCAATTTGTTCTTCGGTTGTTTTCTAGAAACAAAATCAAAAGCTGTTCTGAAGTCAATCAATGCCACATACAGAGCTCCTCTGGGAACTGATAAATATTTTTGATATGTTGTAAAACCAAGCACAATTCCATGGTATCCCACTATTTATTTTAAAAAAAATATTCTAACAAAAAAATTAATAATACAGTAATGCTGTTGAGTTAATTTCCATGAAAATTGGTTCATATGAATCTAACATCTGTGGACTGCAGATAGTTTATCTTGCTAGGAGATAGCAGTTCAAAAGTTAGCTACATTAATTACTTGCAAATAGTTTTCTAATGGTAATTACCAATTGTCAATTTCTCTGAGGAGGTTAAAGAGAATAGAAATTAAAGTAAGGACAGAGGTCGACTGAGATTACACTACATAAATTGCAACTCCTGTAGACTGCATGGGTGGAAATATAAATAAATTTGTAGATATTTGATTGTAATGCTCAGTCAGGGCTTTTGACTGAAATATTTTAAAGAAATTGAGAAAAATCACCTGACACTATTTGACAAGTCAGTTTGTTATCTTAATACAGAGAAAATGATATTGATTCAGCTCTTGTTTTATCCATTATGGTTCTTACTTCAAAATACTTATAAACTAAAATTTTCTCCCATATGATGAAAGCAGTCCAGGTCAGAGAATATTCCTCATTACTGAGGAAGTGTAGAATCTTCACAAGTAGATCTGGAAATGGTCACCAAATTTGCAAGGAAGTCTCATCATTGATGGAACAAAAATCAAAAAGAAGAATTTAATTTATGAGAAAACATGCAATTGGAATGTGGAAAGTGAGAAGCATGAACAAGGGAAAAATCAGAACTTAACTGTGTTAAATAGAATAGAATAGAATAGAATAGAATAGAATAGAATAGAATTCTTTATTGGCCAAGTGTGATTGGTGTAAATACTCTCAGTATACATAAAAGAAAAGATACATTTGTTAAGAATCAAGAATCATAGCATGGATTAATTAAACTGGATGTTTTAGGAATAAGAAACCTTAGATAGACTGGGTCACTTCAATTCTGATGACTACATGATTAAAAAGAATACACCATTCAGCAATAAATCAATAAAAAGAGCAGAATTAGTGGATATAAAAATTAAACAAGAATACACACTTCTGTTTAGATGCACAAAATGAATTAAATAAATGACAGGAGGTCTCAATGCAGCCTCAAGAAAATGATACTGTGTAGCTGGAATGTGAAGAGTGGAAAAATAAAGGGACTTGAAATTAAAGGAGACCCTTAGGGGGCACCAAGTCAGGAATCACCTGAGGCAGCTCAAACACAGGTACAATCAGAAAAGCTGAAGTGATCAGATGATAAGAACTGGACCCCACGCCCTTGGATTAGAGTAGAAAGTAGAATGAAGACACTCAATGAGGATCCTTGCCAAGCAAGAGAATAACTTAATTAAAGTTAGCTGGCTGCAGCCTGATTTAAGAAGCAATCTTGACTCATGTTCCTCTGTTAGAAACAACTCTCTGATCTTCTGCTCTGGCTTGTTGTTTCTATGATTCTGCTTGTGATTCCTGAAACCTTGACCTTTGGACTGGCTGACTTGGATCTCTGAATTTTGGAATAGATTTGACTTCTCTTCTGTGGTGTCCCTACTGAAAGTGATACTACACAAGCAAACTTTCTTTCCCAGAGACTGTTTTGACTTACATCTCTTTCCTTGTCTGCTATTATCTACGGAGCCTTGAGTAAATTGCTATTTTCATCTAGCAACTGAGTGAGTGTAACTGAGTGTATGAATTTGAAAGCTAAAAAAGGACAGCTTCAAAAACATGAACATAGATTCTACACTTAGATACCACAAAATGGACATTGGAATCAAACAGAAAATAGATAATGGAAAAGTTCAATCCAATCAGCCAGGACCAGGCACACATTGTATAATAAATCATGATATACTGCTGTCAAATCCATAGGCTAAGTATAGATTTTTTTAACAGCAGCAGATTACGCAATGCAAAACAAATAAGTGCAATGAGTAAAGCACTGCAAAACAGCCTCCTCACCTACAAGAACAAAGTTAAATGGTCATGTTGCTTCGCTTTGCTTTACTTCATAGCCCTCACAGCTTCTCCTGTAGCACTTCTCAAATCATGTGTCCTTTGAACTGCTCACCAACAGATCTATCAAGAAATGCGGAAGATACACAGCTCACCTCCTGTGTACTGCAGGTGCAGAGTTTGCCTGTAAGTTCTTAATATATAGTACAATTTGATTAAATTTATGCCATTCCAAAACATTTTGCAGTACTAGTAGCCATTGTGTATACTATATAGCTATAATATATAATGTAATTTACCTGTATTAGTTCTTTAGCTGCTAGAAATCCATATATCTTTTCTGCAGGGTATCAAATTCAGCATTTCTGAAGGAAAAGGAGAAAAGAAGAAATTATGATTACATACAAGGGACTCCAATAAATTCTCACAATTATAGGCAAGCCTTCAACCTTGCATGTAGAACACTTGAAACAATTATTCCCAGTGTACTCACGCTGTTTATCTTTAAATCTTTATGCAGCAATTGTATTTCAGAATTGTTTTTCTTAGAGACTTGTATACACCATAATAAGAAGTATTATGAAATGTATGTCTTTCCACATAAAACTCAGAATGGGTCAAATAAACCAGATCTACCAACTAAATGGCTAGATGGTTATAATGCAAAAAATAACCCTGAACCGAATCTACCATTTGTACATGAATATTTCCTGGAACTGATGCCATTAATTGAAAAGCTGTATTAAAAACCCCATTATTTATTTTGTACAACAGTCAAATCAGCAAAATGTATCTGTTCCAAAATTATACAGAAAACCAATGGCAAATTTAAATAACAAAATATGTTCACCTATTTGTTCTGGACATCTCTAATCACCTCTCATCTGCAACATACCCAGGAAAGTTAATATTTAAGCTGAATCGGACCAACCATATCATCAAATGGGATGGGTGAAATGATCTGTAAAATTGCCCTTTTGCTTCCAGATAACCTTCATCAAGCAGACGTATGGTACATCCCTGTGTTTTCTAAGAAACTTTAGTACACTAATGGAATGCAAGAATAGAACAGTCTCTAACATGCTCCATATGTCTTTTAGGATTAGGAAATGGAAGACAGGAAGAATATCTTGCAGCATCTTGCTGGAGTGTTAAAGGCAAATACCACAGAATACACCTTCCCTTAGTTTAACTTTCTTTACTATCCTCAAACAGTGTTTTTTTTAAATAATAGGTGTTTCATAACTTAATTGTGGTTCTCAATGGGTTTCTCACATTATCAAAGTTCTTTCATTGGGACTAAATTAAATATGCCATATGATAGCTCTTTAAATGTGCCACTGTTTCAAAAGCAAAAACCAGATTCAGAAGAGAAATGTTAATTTTTTAACCCACAGTAGAAATGATAGCTGGGAAATATTCTAAAACACCTTCCTTTGATTTTATTAAAAAAACAGATTAATAATATAAATATTGGGGCCATTTTGACCTAGCCAGGAAGTATTTTATGAGAAAGAAATACACTCAGGCCATATTGTGCTCCTCTGACTGTCAATTCTGAAGCTGGCCTGACTGAGGCCATCTTGGAGGCTTCAGCACTCCAAGGCACAGGGAGGCCTTGTGATGAGGCACAGGGAGAGGGGAATAGAGATAGCTGCGGTTTTGTAGCCAAAACAAAATAGTTTCCCCTGGGAACCAAGGACACTCCCACAGGTAGCTGAAGAGAGGAGGAATGAAGTTTCCAAGCAACTGGACAGCACCTTGATTGGGCCATGTGACTGATGGGTTGGGAAAGAGTGGGGGACTTTTACTTTTTATTATGTGAAACCGCGGGAACCTTTAGAGTCGATTTTCATCAGTCAGTGCCAATATGATATATCCAATAAAACTGTTCTTTAAGGAACCTATTTGCCTTGGAGTTCTGTTTGTTATGGGTATATTACTTGAAACACTGACACTGACATGCCATGTTACTAACATGCTACATGAGACTGTATTGGTACAAGACAAGAAGTTGGGTATAAAAACCCAACTGGACTTTTCAGAATGCACCCAGTTGTTCTCCAATTGCTGACATTCAGAGGCATTTAATCCTGAAAGAAAGCAAGGGTGGAAAAAGTTCAGATGGAGTGATTTAATTGGAAGCTGATTTGTTCAAATACCATCAAAACAGATACAAACAAAGCAGGTTCCCTTTCTTCATTTTTAAAAGAGACACAAAGGAGCTGCACTGTTTCACTTTGCTTCTGAGGTGTCCTTCAGCAATTTCTGCAGCACTGCACTGACATTTATGAATGGCAGTTCTCATAAATCTTTGTTCCATTCTCCTGAAAAAAAAAAAAGGTTATAGCAGTTGGGGTCTTCCTCGTGTAAAAATATGAATAAATGGAGCTCTGTTTTTCTAAATCTTACTCTGGATCCAAGAACGGCATTTATTTAATTTACTGTGCCTTCAAGTCAGTGTTGACTTTTGATGACTGCCTGGAAAAGTCCCTGCGGTTTTCTTGCCAAGATTTTGCAGAAGTGGTTTGCCTTTGCCCGTTTCCTAGGGTTGAGAGAAGGGCACTGGTTTTGTGCCTAAAGTGGAAGAATTCACAGCCTCCCAGTTTCTAGCTAGGTACTTTAACCATTGCACCAGACTGGCTCTCCCTGAACTGCATAGACTATCTTAAAAGGACCACAGCCAAATGAGCCATTTATGGATTGATAATTGATTTCACTGATTTCAGCTTTCAGCAGAGATTAGGAGGTATTCTAATAATCATGGCAGACATGGAGATGTTATCTATGATCTACCTCTTATCTCTAATAGACAATTCATAATCTATTGGAACATTGTTTCAAGAACATTTCCTTACCTAAACAGAGAAACAGAATGACCAGGGGCAAAAAGCAGTGGGAGCAAGAGTGATCCAGTTGGGTTGGTCACCAGGATTTAACTTCTCTCTACCAGAATTGTAGAGAGAAGAGAAAAGCAGAGAGGCTGAGAGAAGTTTCCTGAGGATGGGCTCCAAAATGAATCCAAACCTTGGAAGACTAAACCTCTGGTCCTAGTGACTGACCTAGATGAGATCCTGCAACATTATCCTGGCACACGTATATTTGCTCTCATTCGTGGAGCAAGACTGACTTCTGATTCTTCTGTCAGTGTGATTGCAGCTATTTGTCCTCCAGGAACTGGTGGTGGGACTGATCTACCCAGTCTCTGGAGGGGTGGAGTGGATTATTTGGTTTCCAGTGGCTGAAGGAGTTGTGTAAACTTCAGGTTAACCTGAATAGACAGTTGGGGAGGAGGAGTATCAAATGTATCTTTCTCCCCTCTTATATTAAAGTGAGTCATGTAAGAGGGAAGAAAAAAAATCATTTCAAAATTGGGTTATTATCGTCTACAACGATAAGGCAGAGTTCCAATATTCATGTGGCATCGGTTTCCTGATCTGATCTACCCCGAAGGGCTGGCAGCTATAATCCTTGTAATATTGGGAATATCAAGATTCCCAATACTATAGATAACTCTTACCAGTATTTAGCTGAACTGCTATGATTCTATTTCAGAAGGGCACTGCAGCAATGAGATTCAAATCCTTGACACACTACCATACATTTGCAAATGCCTGGCGTGACCTTGATCACCTGATCCTTTGGGAAAATACATCGAAAAGGCAGAAGGCAGCTCAGAACAGAGATCTGTCTCTTTTTTAAAAAAATAATATAATTAAAGCTTACAAGTACAAAGATAATTAAACTAATACAAGCTAAAGAAAATATAAAAAGTAAATTTAAGAAAAAGAGGAATGCAAAGAGATAGGAAAAAGGAAAAAAGATATATAAAAGATGACTCCTTCTTCCTTCCATAAATAATTCCATAAATCAAAAACAATTTCAATAACTTAACACTTTGTCCAGTATTTCATTAAAAAAAAAATCTTCTTCCCAAAATTTGTAATTCACTGGACTGAAGAATCTCCAAGGCAGAGTAGTGCAGTTTTCGGTGAAAAATGCTTGAATAGGAATTGCCAATGTATAGGGCCATACGATTTTGTTAGTGAGAAAGGTGATGCCAGTTTTCTTTCACAATGTTATGAGATGCCCTTCTGCACAGTTAACCAGTAGCACACTTGGTGTAGAACAAATGAGGCAGCAGAACCTTGCACAGGAAATAAAGATTTTAATTTCTGTCAATATTTTCTGGAGGAAAAGTCCTAAAAAACTTAAGCTACAATAAGAGTTACATATAATTGCTTCTATTTCAAGATACAGACTTTTGTCAACTGAACATTATAAAAACATTAAGGACAAAGATAAATAAATAATTTAAAATAACAGCTCATTTCCCTAAACTTAGAATTACTTGGAGCTCTTCCAGTACTGCATTGCCCTTAGCAATTCTTGCTCTAATTCCATCTCTTCTTTCTTCAAAGGCTTAACTGCTTTTAGGGGGTGCTTTTGTGGATATACAAAGAATTTAAAAGCTTGTTCTGACAGTTATCCCTTTGGGTTCACCTCAAAACAAATACACTTTTATCTAACGATAAGATAAAGTATATATTTTTTTTGTAATTTAAGAGAACTTTGTTATGGAAAAGGTTAGAATAAATTTCTTCTCAAGCTGACAGAGCAATTGCATTTTAATTTAAAGAGTTTTAACTGCAATGTACTTAACAGTACTTCAACTTATTAATTTAGATGACCGGATGAATCTTAGTCAACGGTATTTCTGGACTCCATTGGACCTTTTTACTTCTTTTATAAAGCTGTTATAATCATAGAAATTCCAACTTAGCTCAGACATGGAATAATGAGGACCCATGTTCATCTTCAGTGGAATTTTAAAAAGGTGAAAGTTAGGTCTTATTCAGGTTAAGTTCAGCTTCCCTGTTGCTTCTTGTCAGCAACAGAAAAATGGTTCATTACTACATCCAGAATGTATGTTTGAGTTCATGTAACCTAGTGCATAATGGTTTCCTGGTAGTCTCCCAACTAAATACTAACCAGATATTATACTGCTTAACTTTTTCAATGCCAATCAAGGTCATCTAAGTGCCAGCACCTGTTAAAAAGAACCTTTTCCAGCCCCAAACTCAGTAGTACAATAATACAACTGGAATGAGTTCAACACACTTTTATTCAAATGACAATTGTCAGGCCCAAACCCAAAGACAACACAGTGAAATTCAGCCGGATCCAATTCTTTATTTGCTTACACCTAATAGATTCTTGCCAGACTAAAACTAAAACTCTGTAGCCTAAAGATATATCTTGAGAGATTCTGGGATGTGGCTACCTTCTCCTATTCAGCTCAGAACAACACAGTATCTCAATTTGGGTTTCTCTCTGGAATGGACCTCCTCCTCCTAGGAAACTC